GAGCTACAGGTCACCTGAATTTTAAAAACCCAGCACCCCTAAGCCCACATGCGGAAGTGCACGCGAAAAACGCGACTCAGGTGGCTTTTCCAACCTGCAGCCACTTCCACCGCAACTTTCAGGACTTGTCCTTCGGATTTTGCAAGATGACTTGCGGGGCAGCGGCGCAGGGCATCGGACGTTGAGGATTTCATGCAGGGGTACATTTGAGCCAGCTCGCAAGAAAGGACTAAGGCCCTGCAACCCGGCCCCTTCCAGCCCTAACCAGATGCCGAAATCTTATATCCCAAACCTAAATACCCTCATCCCTTTGCTCTAGGTCCATATTACCCAAGCTCCAGGTACTCAAAGGTTGCATGAACATTTGCTAGAAGATTGATTCTGGATGCCGGAGCCAGGACTTCGTCGACTCCTGCATCGGCTAAGCCGTGGGGGAGTGCTTTGAGAAAGTGTCCGGTTTTCAGGTAGTATAGTAGTATGCCAGCTGAACTTGAAGCCAGCTTCGTCTCATAACTTTGCGACCAGGGTCTACATGTTTTTTATTGAAGCTTCGCTGTTGGGTTGTCTTGCAGACTTACGCAGGGGAGAGAAGAGCTAAGCCTCTTCGAGGAGCTGAAAGCTATAATTTCAGTGGTCTTTGTATCCTCAAGCCTTATCATAACAGCAGTTTGAACAGCAATTGTAAGCATGGTGGTTAAATATCACAACAGGAACGATGGCAACACTAGCTGTGAGTGATGTAGTGTTTAGGGCGAACGGCACCTGACTCGCCTGTTTCACGTGATGTGCCAGCGGGATTGGTCGCCGAGACACTGTCGTAGTAGAAACAGTGGCGGTAGTCACATGCTGCCTTTATGTCAGATGCTGAACGCCCCAAGCTAAGCCGTGAACGCAATTCGATAGATCCCAGAAACCCTACAAGCCCCAGAAACCCTAAACCCGAAACCTCGAATTTCTGTGAGGGTCCTGCTAGCGAGTTGCATTGTTCCGGTCCGCGGTTGAGTCCAGCTATTGCCATCAGCAGTTTGTACACATGATAGAAGCATCAGTGGCAGGATTGGTCTTCCCTTTTTTCAATCCTCTATGCACTTTCAGTCCAATGCAACCCCCAGCCCTTTTTTTCTCATGTGCCCCAATGTTTGTCAAACAGTTGATGTTGCAGCGCCAGTGCTTAACATTGGAGCTGCAGCTCTTTTCCACCGGTGTGGGGTGTACGGCCTTCCATCAGCCCCTGGTGCAGCCATACAAACACAAGTTAGCGCGTAAATTATCGAGATAGCAGATAGCCAGGTGGCTCTAGAGGAAGCAGAATTTCTCGATCCCTTGAACCTTGCATCTTGTGGCCCCATCCATTTGAGCGCCGGAAGATCAGTCCCTGGTTTGAGATCGTAAACTGCAAACACCGAACCCGACGTAAAGTCATTGAACCCGTCCCTAAACCCTACGGTAAACCCTCCACACTCGAAGCCCAAAACCCGTCTCTGCAAGCTTGGGCGTTTCAACTGCACAAACGCTTGAAATCTCTGAAGCCGTGATCCTTTATAAGCCCTCCCACTCCAAATTCTTCTAATAACCCTAAGCCCTGAACTCCCCGATGCCCCAGTACAACAAAACGGTCACTGAGGTGGGGGCTACGAGGTCGAGCACGGTGGGAGGCCATCTTCGACTCTGGTGCTTTATGCTGGCGCTGAGTACTATAACGGTGCGTAGTCCAGAGCTTATAGAAAGAGTTGTGGGGATTTTGGCGTCTTCCGCGTTGTTGAGGTTTCACTTTGCTGCGTGGCTACATGTATGAAGCTGTAGCGGGGCTTGAGAGACTTGCTGTCTACACAGCCTGCAGCCAGCATCGTATTCATGTGAGCGCGGGAGCCAGAGCAATCTCGAGCTGAAGTTATGGGCCTTCAGGCGTGCGGGTGGGTGGTGGTTTTGGGTCCAGTGATGTTCGGCTGGTTCATACTATGACGCTTGGATAAGAAGCAGCATTATTCTTCTTAGTTTGTCTTAGTAGGTTTTGAGGTCAGGGCTTTGGGCTCAAGATTGCCATGCTCAGGGTCTGCTCACCCGAACCAAACTCTAAGTGGCCCTAGAATTTGGGAGTCACAGCCACGCAAACCCGGAGCTGAGCGCAGCAAGGCTGATGACTTTGTTCTCTGCCTCCAAGTATGGCCAGAGCCTCAGGTCCATGCAGGTTGTGATTTCGGCCAGAAGTCCCTAAGTCGCAAAGGCGAAGTCAACGAGGCGTTCCACAACTCTCTTCCCCTTGCTCATACATAGGATTATCATTGAGAGATTTAGCCTGTTGAAAGACCCTCGTCCGATCCACGTGTCGAGATTGCATCCGAAGGGCACAAGCAAGAGGCCCTTCTCGACTCACAGCACGACTATAAATGGAAGATGTCGACTGCAGCTCAGCTCCCTTTTGGAGCACCTTCCCACTATATGCCCTACCCAACCTAAGCCGAAATGTTCCCTAAGAGTGCATCATGAAACTGACCCGTACTCAGCCAGCCGCAGTTGAGCTGAGCCCTGGACTCCAGACTGTCAGATACTTTGAGCTTGGGAACTCAAACAAAAAATCAGATCTGATGGGGGGTTGGGGCTTTCGACCTGTGGTGTGGGGGTTTTGCGGCTTGCAGGAGCTTTGGCATGGGCTTCGGTTAAGGATGCGGCTTAGGGTTCAGAGGTTAGCAAACCCACGGAGTCTCGAAGGAGACGGTCCAGAGTTTAGAGCCGACGGTTTGGGGTCCACGAACATCCAGAGCTGAAGCAATCGGAAACGTTTCTTCATGCCATCAGGCGGCGTGCTTCAGAATCGCGGTGCTGTGGCCGTCCTCCGGCGCCGGAGTGAGGCGCACGGGATGGGGGTTTGCTGAGTTTGGATGTTCCGGTGTGCAATGGTGCAACTTCCCTTCTGAGTTTTTGACTTCGGGTTAGAGCAGGGGGTGGCAAGGCTCAGGATTTGGGATGATTTGGGCCTTGACGTGGCGATCCAAAGCTCCAGGCTGTGCAGGCTCGTTGTCTGTAGGCCGGCTGTTTCCAGTAATCATAGTCTGCTTGGGCCATCATTCTGAAGCTGTTCTCTCTGCGCGTCCAACCGTCGTTCTCTTGTATGAAGATTAGTTTTGCAGCAAGGCGAACATACACTTTAGAAGTTAGGCCTCTGCATTCGGCCAGTGAAGGGTTGCTTCAACGCCCGAAAGGCACAGATCTCAAATTCAAGTCCGACTGTTGTTGCTGCGTTCACCCGTGTTCAAGGCGTGCTGTTTGCACCGTGCATGCATGGTTAGGTTGAGAATTCGAGACGTTGCTTGTGCTAAGATTTCGTAGCTATTGTCGACCACGGCAAGATTGCCGAATGCGTTTGGAACTGTCTCTCCTGCACAGAACATGCTGGCAGGTTGCGGAGGGTTGCGGGCATGTTTGCACAAGCTTGGGCTTTGGAATCAATGAACGAATGCAGTAAACGATGAAGGAAAACAAGCAGTTTGCACAACCAAACAGGCCTCGTTGGTGAAGACGGAACTAGTCACTAGCCTGTGCAGCTTCTTTTTGGAGGACGGAGTTAGGGCGGCCTGGCACACGTTCGAAAGAGACGCGTGAGTTGTAAGTTTTGTCAAGCCCTCTACAAATCTCGACTCGAGGTGAATGCAAGTGATTCACTTTCGGGTTTATGTTGGAAACTGTACGCATTCTAAGAGTAGATGTTTGTCACGTTCCTTTGCGGAGTCCGAGCCAGGCCGTCTAAAGGCATGCATTGCCGATTCTTAAGGAACCGCTGCTCCACCGAGCCTTGTCAGAGATTCAAAAAAAGTCTGAAGACTCTACAGCTCGTAAACTGACCTATTCATCCTGCAGCATCCCTGACTCTGGACTGTGCACCTTGTGTCTTAGCCGTCTGGAACCGTTCTTGTGCCGGATCGGAAGCTGTGTCCGCAAGTCCCATGCAAGGCTTCGACCAAGAGCCCTGTAAGAGCTAGAATATTCTGCAAAATTGTGGTGGGCTACTGGAAGTACCTATTGACCTATTCCGTCTCCTGCGTGACACCGCTGTCGGAACCTGTGCATTTGCAGGGTGCGCCCGCATTTCTCCCTTCGCCTTCCTCGTCCGGGGCTCGTTGTGGCATCGACATTGAGCCTTGCATGTGCCTTGGTTCCTAGCCGCACACCTTTGAATCCCAAAGCCATGTAATGTAAAGTGGATGGAGTACGTGGAGTATCTGAAAGCCTCTGCGCGCGATGTAGGCTTTATGGCTTCGTTGTGGCATTTTTGGCTTCAGGTGTTGGGTTTAGTTTAGGGTTTTTGACAGTACCATCGGACATCGACCTTGAAAGTTGGAAGGGGCATCTCTCAGACCTCGAGCTCTCAGGGTCGAGAGGGCTTCAGGATTCGGGGTCATGGCTGCGTGAGAGTGTATAGTAGTTACTAGCAGTAGTAGTATAGTAGTAGTAGTAGTAGTAGCAGCAGCAGCAGGAGTAGTAGTAGTAGTAGTAGTAGTAGTAGTAGTAGTAGTAGTAGTAGTAGTAGTAGTAGTAGTAGTAGTAGTAGTAGTAGTACTAGTACTAGTACTAGTAGTAGCAGTAGCAGTAGCAGTAGCAGTAGCAGTAGCAGTAGCAGTAGCAGTAGCAGTAGGAGTAGGAGTAGTAGTAGTAGTAGTAGTAGTAGTAGTAGTAGTAGTAGTAGTAGTAGTAGTAGTCGGCCCCCCTCCCTACCAACTACCCTCCCTTTTGCATGTGTTGGTTTGGGGGGGGTTGATAACGTACAGGCAGCCTCGAACAGTTGCCAGAGAATGTCCCTAGGGACAAGCGACAAGCGTCGGTTAACTAGTCCCGATTGCCCCTTTTACCTGTTTTCTAAGAAGCCCAAGCGTCGTGTAAGCCTGAAGCCTGCCACACCCCAAATTCCCACCGTGAAGCTAGGTCCACAGTCTTAACAAGTGCCGAAGTCGAGGACTCTTACAAACTGGCATCCTGCTGTTGCTGCCTCGGCTCTCAGTGTTGCCATGCATGGCCAAGAAAAGTGGACGCGTCCGCCTGTGCGCAGCTTGAAGCGCGGCAGTTTGCGCCTGGTGTCGACTAAGTCCGAGACTCGCTCTCGTGGAGCTGCCACCAAGGCGAGACAGCATAAGCTGACTACGTCCCGCAGACTCAGGTTGGGGAGCCACAGGCACGTCGAGGACGCGAGAAGCTTGTCGTGTTGAAGAAGCTGTCACCAGTCAAGCTTGCGAAGCACTTGCAGGAGTTGGGCCACCTTCCGGTCCTGAACAAGAAGTCGGCATGCTTGTTCTGTGGGCACAAAACGCTTAGTGTCCACGGCTGTCCTCCGGTTCCGGCGTTGCTCAAGGGCTTTGGTGCATGCTGCTTTCGCTGCACACGCAAGTGTTGTACAAGCAGCAGCATTTCCTTTCCAACTCACCGTTGTTTTGCGTCGGCCGCGGTGCAGACGTCCTACCTCTGCAGCAACAAGTAGCCATCCTGTGGCACTTGGCTTGGCGAACGCCCTCCCGGCTTGTGCGTGCCGAGGTTGGTTGCAACGAGAAGCGCATCGACAACATGCGCACCCGCTGGCGTGGAGTTCTGACCAAGTTCGTGGAGGAGAAGCAAACTCGCGCTCAAGGGGGTGACTTTCAGGAAGTAGAAGTGGATGAGACCGTCGCGTGCAAGCAAAAGGTTGGTGACAAAGTGTGCTGGCAAACCTTTGTCGGCTCCAAGGTGCGCGGACAACGTGAGTCCTTGGTGCTGCAAAAGCGTGTTTTTGGAAACAGCTTGTCGAAGGTGAGGACCAGCGGTCTTTCAGCTCCTCCGCCACTGACGGTGACTGACTGAGTGGCAAAGCTTCACCACGGAGCGCTTGCAGTCCAAGACAGCCGTCCACACAGACGGCGCCCAGGCCTACTGTGCTCCTGAGCTGCTCCTGTAGCGAACTTGCAGCTGAGGCACGACAGCGTGTGCCACAGCACCAAAAGCGGCCCGTACTTCACCAAGAACTGCACTCACAAGGGCGTCAAAAAGGTTGGCAAGCGGCAGGGCAACCTCAAGACCGTGGCAAGCACACCGTGCATTGACGGGACCTGGACGTCCGAGCTGGTCGTCCTTGCAGCCGAAGTCCTCTCAAATTTCTCCGCTCTCGACTGGGCTGATGTTCTGAGTGCAGATGACGTGACTACGCGGTCTTGGCTTCCCGTCGTGCATCAAGATGTTCCAACGACCTTCGTGGCCAAAGTGGAACAACCATACAGTCAGCACACTGCTGTTGCTGAGGCTAAGTGCTCCAAACTAGATAACCAGTTCTTTCAGCTTTCATTTTTGGCTTGTCACGCAGACCGTGATCAGGTCGCTTCTGTGATCGCCGCATTGTCCGAAGCCGCAGACATCTTGCATAGTCCTGCTTACAACAGTATCTTTCGTGCAGACATTGCTTTGACCAGACTGTTTGACGGTCTGACCGTGATTTTTGTCGATACAGCTGTTCTAGCGGATGGCTGGCTTGTGCGGGGACGTCGTCTCGCTCAAGCCTCCACGCCAACCATTGAGTGCTAGCTCCACCAAACATTGCAGGGACCCGCGCCAACCAATGACTGTTAGCTCAAAAAAATTTGCCAGACACGTGCAATCGCAATCTGTATGCCCCTCTGTTCTGTTCAAGTTGTGATGATAGTCGTTGTGAAGATGATAATGACGATGGGTTAACGCACCAGGTAGAGTCCTTTAAAGACCGAGCAAAAAAACTTTCCCCCAACCAATTTCGAGTTTTCGCTGGAGGCCCTCGCAAAGGCCAAAAGACAACGGAGCAAAGTCCAGAGGTAGGCTTGGCGACTCTAGAAGATGGATGACGTCACGTGCTGTAAATGCCGAGTAAAATGGTTCTTACGGAGATGTTGTTCGGGGTGTCGGCGTAACAATGTCGTCATCATTCTTCCCGCACCCCCCCCTCCCCCCTAAAGAAAAGTCCGAATCGGATGCTGGAGTTTGAAAACTCGCAGGTGCAGTTTCAGGCTTCATAAGATGTTGCTACATGACGAAAGTGCTGTAAATACCGAGTGAAACGGATGTGGGTTACAAGAGTATGTAAAGGAGGTAGTTGGTAGGGGGGGTTGCTAGTAGTAGTAGCAGCAGCAGGAGGAGGAGTAGTAGTAGCAGATGTAGCGCTAGTCGTAGTGGTAGTGTATTGGGAGTGGAAGTGGAAGTGGGAGGGGAAGGGGAAGTGTTAGTGGCAGCGGCAGTGGTAGGTCCTGGTAGGTAGTGGTAGTGGCAGTGCTCACGCCTGCGAACCCAAACCTAAACCCTGCAAACGGTCTTTGGAGGAAGCTGGTGGACAAGAACATCCCACCTTTACGGCATTTGCAAATGCAGCTGGGCTGCGAAATTAGCGCCTTGGGTTTGCAGGCGCCGGGGTGAGCTAAAACCAGACATGGGGTATGGGACTTGCAACTTGGAAATGTTTCCGTCTGTACAACTTGTGATGATCTGGATCTGTTGTTGTTCTTCGTTGCCTGAAAACTTGCGCAGCGCGAGTCCTGCTTGTCTCCCCGAGCTTCCATCAACCATACCCAACCCAAAAAAAAGGCAGAGAACAAACAGTGGGGCTTTGGGCTTTCCACAAGACTTGTAACAATCTTATGAACCCTCAAGGCGTGAGTTGGGGGGTGTCGTGTATAGTGAGATAGTGGCTTTGTTTACTGAGTTTTTCTGCATCCTCCCAACCACCTGATCCTTGAACTTAAACCAAGCATCCCCGAAACCATTCGTCAAGAGCTGCAGCCCCTTATCTGTTCAATCGCACACACTGAACCCTGGGCGTTTCAACCCGCTAGCCCTAGACCCTGAACCATGATCAGCAGCATCCAGTGACTAAGACAGTCAGTCCCAACACTTCAGCTCGAATCTGGTCTTGCAGTTGGCCCAAAACGTGAAATTTAACAGCAATAGAATTCATTAGGCTTCATGCTCAGAGCTTGCAAAGCGTTGCCATTGCTGCGGTTTGGTTAGATAAAACTTGCAAGGCCTGCCTGCGACAAACTGCAACAAACACTAGTCGGCTTTCCAGCTGTTTGGATCTCAGTCTACAGTCCCAGGGTTTGGATGCAGAAGCAGGGTTCTATTTACGTTCCTATAGGGTATAGTCCATGAACTTTCAAGCGAATTCAAATCACAGCTACTTTAGCGATTCTGAGGACAATGTCCGAGTTCGTCGTTCCAGCTCTGAAGGCGACGTGAGAGGGTCTCCCACCGAGGATAAAGGAAGTGAGTCCGCTTAGTCCCAGAGAGCTGGGTGATGTGGGGTTTGAGGCTTGGGGCTTTGGGGATTCCGAAGCTGTACAAGTAGGTGTGGTGTGCTCCGAGGCATTCGGGCCTCATCGGGGCTTAGATTGGAGGCTTTGGAGGCACGGCTAGGCTTCTGACTTGGGCTAGGGGCGAAGAGGCAGACTTTCAGGCTAATCTCGGACATGAGTTCGTCTAGAGAGGCTGCGCCGGCTTCGTCAAAATACTACTCGCAGCGAGACCTTCGATATTGGACACCCTTAAGACGATATCCGGAGTACAACTTACCTACTGCACAATGCCACTATTTAGGAGCATTTCTGGGGCTCGGGAGGGCGATGGTTGCCTTATGCATCAAGCGCGTTCCTCCAAGATGCATTCGGTTGAAGGAGGGTGCCCGCAGAGCCTCCCGAACCTAGGAGCTTGCATTTTCGGTTTTTCTGCTTTTGTTCTAAATGGGTGTCGATCCGAAGGGATGCCCCAAAGCAAATGGAGAGCTTCCTGTGATCTTTGATCCCTACAGAGTCGAGCTAAGATTGGCGCAACCCCTAACACCTGAATGCAGGAGCCTTCCGAGAGGAACGAGGTGACCCAAGCTTGCGTCCAGCAGGCCTGCATGTTCCGAGTCTCGGAGCCGGAGCGTAGTCAATTGAGTTTCGGAGAGCTCGTCTTAAAACTCCGAGATCGCTCCCATGCCCCCGGTTTCGGGGAGGTGCGCCGCTTTGTCGAGACGACAGCGAGTCAGCACCAGCAGGACCGAACTTCGTCTTTCAGATCACGGGTGTTTCGGCTACATCAGGGCTTTCCGGCTTCAGGGCTCGGGAGTTCTGGCTTCACATCTTCAGACTCATCCGTGCCAGGACATCGAGCAATATGTGCCGCGGCAGCAAGATTGTTTGGGTGTTCAGTGACTTATCCCCAACAGCCAAAATCGTGGTCCGCAAGACGCACGCGGTGCCTGTCTCTGCCTCCACCGAAACTGGTCATTCCACCGTTGAAGCAGGCCATGGTATTAGGCGTGGCAATAGAATAGAAGTTTTCATCGCAGCTCTGAGCACCTCCTGACAAAGACTCCCATTCAGAGACGTGAGCAGTTGATCATCAGAGCCAGTCACATAAGCAGCATGTAATGATAATAATTATGAATGGATGTCTCTGTGTGTGCACCTGTATGTATGTCTGTATGCTTGTATGCATTCATGCATGCATGCATGCATGCATGCATATGTATGTACGCACGCAGGTAGGCCTATACGATGCATGCCTGCACGTATGCATGCATACGCACACAGGTCAGGGACACCAGGGAGAAATTCTGCCACAAGGCCATTGAGGAGTCGCGTAGGCAAGGGTACCGTTACAAGGCGGCCCGCTTGAAAGTCGCAGGCCGACACCTTAATAAGTCAACCAGACAGGGAGATCGTGAATGTACATCTTGAGGAATTGGTGTCTGTGTCCGACCTTGCAGACAAAGCGTTCATCGCCAAGGGAAACGCTGCTACGACAAGCGCCTCAATCAGTTTCTCCTGGCAATGGGTGCTGAGATGAGCCCTGCGCTCGATGCACACTTGCTCTCGATGAGACGTGCATGGGGGAAAAGACCAAACATGGGAGCTTCAAGATCGAGTCAGCTCGACAAGATCGTCCAAGACGCCTGAAGCGAAGCGGTCAGCCGTCATGCGGAAGCCAGGTATTGCTTGGGGACCTGTCGGGCCTGGAGTCCTCAGCGGAACTGCAGCCATGCCACCGAGGACTGTAGAGGAGTCCTGTGGCTATCAGTGTCCGAGATGGCACCTCCTCATCTGCATTGCATGTAAACATTGCAGGTGTACATATGTAGGTGACTGCAGCCATATCCACATGTGGAACTTCGCCTGTGTACACCTATAGTAGTGGAGGGATGTGAACGGTTCAGAACTCAGACTCTGCAGGGAAGTCCTGTGAGCTACACTCAAGGGTTGCGTAATTGCTCAGCCGCAGTTTAGTGTTTGAAGGGTTTCGGCTAGGAATTAGGGCGGTTTGGTCCGGAAACCTTTGACCAGGTTTCGGTGACGGCGTTCGGATTTGGGCAGTTACGCAGCTAAGGCTTTGGCTCTCATCTGCGCAGAGCGAAGGCGGCTTTGGCGACGGTCTCAGCTCGGGTATCGAAGTTTTGGGTGTCGGGTTTCGGGCGTTTTATGTACAGGACTTAGTTCGTCCGGTGCATAAACCGCCCTGCTAGCATGATGAACATCCTCGGCACCACCATCGCCCCCATCAGATTCGCGACCACCCACGAAGCCGTTTCAACGGGTGAAGAAGTTTGGGAGGTCAGCACAACGAAGAGCCATGCCAATCTTCAGGCACATGTTCAAGATCGCCAAAGCAACAACAACAGCAGCATAAACTGCCATTCTGCTTGCCCGGTGATTCGTTTGGAAGTGAAACTGCAATTCCGAAACCAAGTCGCTGATCCACTGAACTCCAAAATCCTAAAAGCCTGCTGAGTTTCAGGAAGTATAGACCAGCTCGGGGGGCTGAATGACGAACCAACCCAAACTGCCAGAGCCCGAAGTCAAACCTGGTTTTGTCAGGTCCCAGCTCCGGGCACGAGATGAGGATCGGATACGCTTCTCAAATAGGGTGCCACAACGTGCCGACTCTCGAGTTAAGCTGTTGGGAGCTCAGATATATTGGCAAATGAGATGAGTTTCAGGGCACGAATTGTCGGCTCTGACTCTTCTTTTTGACGCTCGTGCCAAGATGATGATAGCCTCGTCGGGTGGTCCAGGTTAAACAGTCCGCTGCCACGTGAAACGCCCTAAGATAAGCCTTGGTGGCGAATCCTAGTATGGAACGACCCCTTGGATTCAAGTGGTGTCCCCGAGACCCACTGAACTGGAACCTTCTAACCTGAGGCTCGCCGCCTTTGAACCGTGAACACTCTCCTGAACCCAACGATGATTTTCTTAAACGTGCTTGCCTGCAGGAGGGTCGCGGCCTCCTCTCTTCGGACGACCTCTGTGAGGTCCTCGCAGAGGCGAGTTTCGGGCGTTTGCAGGGTAACCGTCTAAGCATGGAGTGCGCCTTTTCGGGTTTTCGGGTTTTGTTGGTCTCGTAGGGTGTACAAGGTTTGTAGTTTGTGCAAAGGTTGTAGGGATCGTCCGGTTTGCACGCCTGCTACAGTCTAGAGTTTGTGTAGGGATTGTCAAGCTTGTGTCTTGTATGTTTACAATGTTCCTGGGGCTCTACGGGGTGACACAGGACATCGGGTTTGCAGGGTCTCGGGTCTGTACGGC